ATGAAACAAAATGTTTTTGGTTTTCTTTCCTTACAGACTAATTAGGAAGCTCTTGGAGATCTTCCACTCTTTTTTCCTCAGATAAATCACCGGTTCGATTGACAATTCACTGATACAAGCGAAATAAAATCCAAACGGCTTCACTTCGATGACGACCATAGGCAAAAACGTACAAGAATCGGACAATGGAACGTGAGAACTCTAAAGGAACAATCCAGGCTAGCACAATTTGAAGGAGAAATGGACCTGGCGACGGACCACCCTTCAGGAATTACTCCCATAACAACATCCCATGGGACACAGCTAGACAGACTGCCAGAAATAGAGTTCAATGGAAAAGCGCTTGTAGAGGCCCTAAGCTCCCAATTGGAGTAAAAAGGAATTATAAAAAAAAATCAGTAATAAAATATTATTATTTAAAAATAAATTATAACTTTACATATCCTTGCTCTTTTATTATTTAATTTCTTTTATTTTCATTAATATTTTTTGTATATGCTCGTTTGTTCTTCAAAATAAAAGCTTAAATTTACTTTTATATGAACTTTTAACCCGATTATAAAATGTTCAATATTATGTTTTTGTTCTGATAACAAAATTATATTAGAAAGAATATATATATACTTGAAAAGCTTTTATAATCCAAAGATAATATGTAGATTATTAGAAAGGGATAACATCTTTCGTAATATGCTGAGGATTTATTCTTGAAACACACATATTTCTAATATTAATAGCCGTCGCACAGTGGGGCCTTCGGACTTTTTTCGTTGCAAAAATCATATCTTCTGAACGGCTGAATCAATTTTCGTCATTCAAATTTTGTTTGAAAGAAAAATTCTTATTCTTTGAAACAAGTCATAGCGCATTGTGCTGTGATTTCTAGGAGCTGCGCAATGTGTGCTCAAAGTTGGATTTTGTTGCCAGTGCAATATTTGCCTAATCAAACTAATAAAAAACATTTAATGATACAATTATTTTCATTATGTTATATTTTTAGTTTTTAACAAATTAAAAATTGAACAAAAAATTGTTTAAGTATTACAAATTTTTTTTTAATTTAAAAATATTGAAATATTTTTTTACATAAAAAAAAATTAAAATAAAGTATTTTGTTAATATTTTATGATTACATTAATTTTTATTATAAAGTACTGACAGCTGCAATTATTTACATTAATATGTTTTCTTTAAAATAGTCGTCTACATTCGAAGGAATATCTAATAATTTCACCATGTCCGAAGAATAATTACTAACTAATTCTTTTTGAGACCTCACATGTCTAAGGGATGAAACCAGTGGATCTGAAGAGGCTGACAACATATTGAAGAGATCCTCGTTTTGCCTTATTCGTGACGTCTTGCATGTGTTCAAATATCTGAATTTTTTATAGTCCTTGTTCCTCGACTCTTGGGCTTCCTCTGACATTTCTCCAATTGGTCATGAAGTGTTACTTGCACTGACTGTTCCGTCACAATTGTGGGCTGAGGTACTGCCTCTTTCTTAGCCGATCCTATTTGTTTGTACCCAGGAAGAACATCAACATTATGCCGAATTAGGGAATGTCGCAATATTAAATATTTTTCCTTTGACAATCCCAAATCCATAAAAAATGCCAAAGCCTCATCGGCACTGAACTGATTTGGCAGTAAGTTTGGCGGAGTAGGAATGCTTTCCTTGATGCTTTTAAGTCGCACTGGGCTTGCGTCAGCAACCGCTTTTGTGATTTGCGATTTTATTTTTTCCTGATCCTTGGTGTATTTCGTGGACAGCGCCTCCGACAAGTGATCCGTAGCTATGGCTTCTGTGACATCGACAAGCTTTCTTTTTCTTGTAAAATCCGAGCATTCTTCAATGGATTTCGTTGGTCTTCCTCTGGCTCGTCCAGTTGATGTAGAGGGTACATCGTCCATTGATGTATCCAAGTACGTAGTCGTTGATAGCCAGATTTCATATTTTAAATCAAATTTCTGCTTGCTATATCCTACGCTTATCCATTTCTGTTTGATTTTAGAATAAATTAATTTAAGCTTATTTCTCAACATTTTTTGCTGATCTGCACTTTCCAGAGCATCATACAGCTCTTTCAAAAGAGCTTCTTCAAATTCCTTCTCATCATTGGAATTCCTAAATAGATCAAATAATGTTGCATTTTGCACAGCCATGTTAAAGAAAAATCACTTTTAAGGTATTTTATATTGAAAAATACTATTCACTGCTAGTTAGACACAACTGATTGCTGAAATTCGACTATTACGCTGCACCAAAAATATTGGCAATATATACCATTTCTAAACGCATACCTAAAAACCTCTTTTTGCCTGTTCAAATGCTTTAAAGCAAATAAATTACAATTCATGAAAGGGTCAAAAAGATTGCAAGACCTTCACCTGATATTGTAAATTACACTACCTGTAATAAATGTTATGCATAATTTTGGTTGCACAATAATAAATGTGGATCAAATAGGACCGCTTAGGTATATTTTTGTATCCATAATGCTAAATACAATGTTCCTAATAGCCGTTACAGCGAATCTACCTACAATGCATTCTTCTTCTTATACCCGCGGCAGCACCTTTTTCGCTAATTTTTTCCGAAGTTGCGGCACTCTTTTTGCTCTGGTGCACACCGGCGGATCCGGGCGGATGAAAGTTTTATTGCGTTAGGTAAAAGAATATTTAAGGAACATATTTTGAAAATATGGGCGAGGTACTTTTGGGTACTTTTTTTTTATTTTCCATCAAAGTTGAAAAACACCCTAAAAATAGGTAGTTTAAAAAATAACGTTTTCTAGATAACTACAAATACGAAAGACATAGTTTTTATTAAATAATGCATAAAATTAATTCATCTAGCAATACAAATCAAAACATCAATGATTCGTTTCATAACTTAGCTAATATTATACCTGAAAGATGAAGTATTTGCATCAAATTGAATTAATTGTTGCGAGCTTAAAAAAGGGTCGACTTTGAGTGCACATATGTCCTAAACTATAATTCCGATTTTTTTGAAAGTAAGATTTTCGTAATCTTTGCAAAGAAAAACTATTAGACACGTTTATTCATTACTCCCAAAGCGTTCATGAAAATTTTGATTTTCGCAAGCTGTTTCGGCCTAAGGCCCCACTGTGCGTCGTCCTCCCAAAAATTACACAACTTGCACATGCGCGGACGCACAAATATTTACGTATAGCTCTAATTTCTCTAAATGGTTAAGAAACTCTAAAACCATTTGTATTCTAACTACAATTTTGAAATGTATTAATTACGTCGGGACGGCGCGTACGCCATTCCCGGCTACCAAAAATTACACGCACGAGTTATTCACATTAGGAATAATCGCAGAGGTCAACTCAGCCGAATGTGCAATGGCCAAGCCTCACTCCGGAGGAACCGCCTTCGTGATCACGGTTAACCTCTACGCCAGGTAAGTATGCTTAACTTCGCTTTTGGACTATCACGCCATGCTAGATCTGTGCAAACTGGTTGTGAATTATAGGCGAAAGGCTCGAAAAAAAAACATATCCCAAAAGTATGCTACATTCTCTACTGAAAAGACTTCCTTTCTACCGAAGGTCCTGTCTACCTGCGATTGAAACGAGAAAGGTAACACAGCCCTATTTTAAAATCGTGCTCTCCGCCTCTTCTTAGGCAAATGTTGTCTCTTAATCCTCATATTTATTTTATTTATTTACTTTACGCGACATCAAAGGAACAAATGATAATTAAATTCGCACTAATCTGCCCGTAATTTATTTTATCACATGCCCATCTACGACTTTGACGTCGTCATCATCATCATCATCAGATTCGGCAGCAGCAGCATCCGCATCAGCATAAGGGGCAACCTTATTTTGGGGTTCACTTTCACGTTCCGGCTTCCAACTTCACGCACAACGCACGAAATTCCAAATCAAATTTTCATTTACTTGCCAAATAGACTCTACTCTCTTCCTGAGCTCAGCCGAGCAGGTTGGCTGTCCCACCGTCCAGGCACGTTGGCGGGTTCATTGGTTGGCTGGTCGCTTGGTACACAACAACAACAACAACAACAAGAACAACAACAACCCGTCGACATCACATCATTAAAGCAAGAAAATATTCCTCCCCCAGGAATGTTGTCTATGCTATAGGGTGTTGTTGCTGTTGTGTCTGAGTCTGTCAGTGTGTCTGTATTACTCATTGAGTGTGTGTGTGTGTGTGTGGATGGCAAATCGAATAAAATTTAGCTGACTCAATAAAAATCAAAAAGCGTTAATGCTAACGATATGACTTTAACCTGAAACCGAGTAAATTGTTGCTTGTGCCAAAGCCGAAAAAAGGGGAGAAAATTTGTGCGGCTAGGCTGAAAGGAGGGGAGTGTTGAGCAAAGAGCAGTATTTGGAGGCAGGATATGGCAACTGGAAGCAATATTGCAGCGTAATCTGACAGCGACAATTTAGTTGAACTCGATTCCTATTTCTGGCATGGCACGCGCTCTTTAAGAATGGACACATTCATGACAAGGAAGTGAAAACGCTTAATAAATGATGATAAATAAATAAGGAAAGGCGCGAAAATGGAATCACTGTAGAGAAGGACAGGACAGAGGAGCTTAACAAATGGACGAGATGGGTATGCAGACTCGCAGCAGCCCTTATGATAAATGAATGTTCTATCCCTAACAGGCACAATGGACATTTGTTTAAATTATTTTTGGCACTGCTGGTTCTACAATAAGGTATAGCTTCTATTGCCTTAACCTGAGTATGTTGTTCATTGGAAAAAAAGTTCGCGAACATCAGTGGATATATAGTAGTTTATCAACATTTGTTCCACCCCTAGTAAATATATTCAACATAGCAATTAATTTATTAGAAAAAGTTTAAGTTAGGCAAAATCCTATAAAGATCAGTCTTCTTGGATTTTGGAATTATTTTATTGTTCAACACATAATATAATCCCTTATTCAATTCGATTTGCCTTTGAATCTTTTGTACATTTCGGAACAAAATTCAGACAACAAATGTTGACAAAATTCTACATTGAGCCCCGAAATTTAGGACCAGGAACTAATACGAAGTAGGGACGAATGCTTCAACCATGTACTGCTCCCTGAGCTCAACGAAACCGGTGCTAATTGTCGGCACCATGGCCATCGAATATATAGTCTTTAGCTCCCATTTCCCCGTGGAGGGTACGCAGGGGAAAAGCCTGAAATCTGTAATGCACTGCGGCGGTAATGCTTCGAATGTGGCAACAGTACTTCGGGTGCTGGACGTCCCTGTCGAGTTCTTCGGCATGCTGAGCAAGGGCGCGATCTGTAATGTGGTGATGCAGAATATGAAAAGGCGCGATATAAGTACGATCAACTGTCCCAAGACAGATGATGACCCGCCATTCTCTACTATTTTAGTTGCCCAGGACACGGGAGCCCGTGCCGTTATAAACTGTGGGGCAGAATTGGAATATGTGTCGGTTAAGGACTTCCAAAGACTTGACCTAAGTCAGTACGGATGGGTGCATTTTGAGGCGCGAAACTTTTATGATACTGTACAACTAATGCGTGTCGTTCTGGACTTCAACAACGGTCGAGAGGAAGAGGAAAAGGTATTGTCTTTTTTTAACTATTTGTTATAGCGGACTCAAAAGTAATAGTTCTTTAGTAGTCATCAGTCAAAATCTTTAACAAGTCTTGGGCATCCCTCAACTAACTGGGTTAGTTCGTTTTCTAGTGTTACTTTATGACTTGCTAAAACTTTCAGCAAAGTGTGTTAAACTTTAACATTAGAAACGATCTCTGTTAAAAAAAATTTAGTGATTCTGATTCGATAAGTAGTTTACAAAAGTATTCGACTCAATTCATTAATCGCTTCGGAGCATTCCGGTACCATCTACAAATATTCCATTCAATACTGAAAGTGTTCGTTCTTTTTTAATAGTTTCCTTTTAGGTTTATAGGTGAAATCCCTAAAAATGTTATTGAGATGAACTTGCAGTGAAAGTATTTATTTTTCATTCATTTACGATTAGGTTACTCTATCCCTGGGCTTCACTTCTATTGAGTTCGATCCATTTTTCCAAACAAATCTTGATATTGGCGACATGTGCGATTATTTAGTGTATACCCAGGAACTGGCTCTCCAACATGGCTGGCAGACACCCCGCGAAGCCTGTTTTGAAATAGAAAAGGCGTTGCGTCTTCGTCGTGATCTGAATTTACACAGGCCGGCCATCGTTTGTCCTTGGGGCAGCGAAGGGGCCGGTTGCCTGGATGCAAGCAGAGTCTATGCAGAAGTACCTAACTATCCCCCCAAGAAAATTGTTGATACCGTGGGCGCTAGTGACTGCTTCGAGGCCGCTTTCATATTCGCCATATACAGGCGGCAATCGTCCTTAGCCAAGGCTGTGGAGTTTGCCAAACGCGTGGAAGGCCATAAGCTTTCTATGTATGGCTTTGATCATATTGTCAATATGAACTTTACGGATGTTACGCCGCTAACTGTTGACGTCGAAGCATCCAGTGACGGTAGCTCTCAGGATGGCGACCTCACAGAGGAGCAAAGAATATGTCGCAAGTACTTAAATCGAACGATCAAGCACAAAGAGCAGGACATGTTGAAAAGAATGAAGATGAAAGCTCAAGCCGAAGCCGAGGACATAGCCGAAGCAAAAGCGGAGAGGGAGATGATGAATTCCATGTTTAATAGGGGCGAGGAGATCATTGTTCAAGAAATTATCATACCTCCTCCTATATTTGAACCGGTTGAGCGTCTAGCCTTTGATTCGATTAGTCAAGTAAATGATGCCGATCAAAATGTGGACCACGATTCGGATGCCCTATGAAAAGCATAATCCTCCAAACATCTTAGAGATGCTGTCGTAATTACTTTATAAAAGCACCACACCCACAATTCGGGTTATCTAAATTTTGACTGTCAACAATTATTTTACGAAACTACCAGCGGTCTTGCTAGTCCTATAGGGGGGAACATCTTGTTTTTGTTGTTAACAGCCCATTCAGGAATAGCTCTATTAATTTAAAAGTGTATCGGAAAGAGGGGAAATGAAATTTTTTCTATTTACCAAATATTATTAATAACAAAAGAATTTTAAAGTAAAGAGATATTATATGTAAAGATGTAATAAAATCATTTTCTCTCCCGGTTCTTATCAGACTCTTGTCTTAAAATATCATGTTCGATATCTCAGATCTCGAAAACTAAACAAGAATGGAGTGCTAGAGTCGAGCACTTTTAAATAAATAAGTACAGTGATAACGTATTGGGTATAATAATGAAAAAAGCCTTGCTAGGCTAGGCTAATTTTTTACTTTTGTCATCCACATCGGTTGGCTCTTAGAAAAGTTATTAGAGAAACCATTTTACTTCGGTGGTTTATCTTCTTTTAGGTTCTGTTGTGAGCGAATATAACTCAGAGTCAGAATTTTGTTTGGACATGGGGTATTTCATTATCGTGCTTGCTCATCTGTTGTATTCCGTCTCTTGTTCAAGAAATACAAGAGTTAAGGCAAGTCACTAATAGCGGAAGAGATGGAGGTTTCTTCAGGAAAAACCATGCTGCATAGACCTTAGAAAAATAAAACTAAGTACTATGTTCAGAGAGTCTATCTTTCAAATTTTCGAAGATGGTTGCGTTCATACAGACCGGCAGACTTCATTATATCGTTTACAGACGTACATATATACATATGTACAAGTAGATATCCATATATATCCGTCTGGTTGATACACACTTTCGCCATATACTTGTTTACCCTTTTATGCTTTGATCAAGAAATACTATTTCTATGATATGTCATCATTCATTTCGGCGGCGCCACAAGTGCCTCATTTTGGCACAAAGCTGCTGCACCAACAGTCCCAAAACTTTGCCCAATTCTCACCCACTATCTCGCTCTCTCAGGCACTTACTTTATCTGAGTCAATGCTGAGGTAACACTCGAGGGAGATTTGTAAGCGACACGCTGTGGCTTAAGTAGGAAGGAGGCGTAACCGCTCGGTTGGAAATCAACGAAACTCGCATTTATTTCAATTTTATGATTTCGTGGTGCCCGAAAGTCTAGCCACAAACGAAATGAATCTCAAATATGTACACAAAGTTTCAATGTGGCACATATGTACATATTGGTGTATATATGTATCTATGTATGAATGTGTGTGAAGTAGAAAATGTGTAAATCCAGCGCAGAGATTAGAAAATTTTGCTCGCATGCCGGCAACATCAGTGAGAAATGTTTGTGGGCTGGCTGAGGGCAGGGGCGTGCCGCATTAACACCCACACAAGAAGTCATCCTCACACACACACACAGAAACACACACACACACAAACAGCTCGCTCACATTGAGAGCTTTGGTGGTGGTTTCATATGCAACCACAGAGTCGTGGAGCTTCGCAGTGTTGTGCGCGTATTTGTGTATATTTAATGCTGTAGTCTGCCTTTTTGGGCAGCAGCAGGAACAGGAGCAGCAGTAACAACAACAACAACAACAGCACGGACATGGTCATGGATCTGGCGCCTTCTTGTTCAGCGCTCAGCTCTCAGCGTACGCTTGAGCTAATTTAATCGCTGCAAATTGCTTGACAATCTGCGCGGCATTAGAGCTACACACGTGAAATGCGATAGGGCAGCCCGAATTCGAGGGGGGAAACGGGCACAGCGGGGGAGAGGTGCTAAGTGGCTGCTGCGAATTAGATTACATTTTTGCCGGCATTGGCGCTACGCGCATAAGGCAGTTCAGCATAGTTTCGCCACCTTTCTCCTCCCCCTTTCTCATGCCACAAATATCGTACATTTGTGATGCTCGCAGAGTCGCAAATTAGCGGACTGCAAATACGCGATAAGCCTGTCAACAGCGGCAACAAATGATTGTCCAAATATCCAAATCCCAAGCAATGACAATTCAAACTTTGACGGGAAATGATGTAAGAGAGCACAATCTTGCATAACCACAGCAATTGCCGCTGCGGCCGTTGCTGTTACGTCTTAACGTGGCCCAAATGCAACGCCCACCGCCAACGCAGGCAAACACAATTGAAACTCAATGAACCATGCCCATAACCATGCCCATCAAAGCGCTCACATCCATAATGGAACGCAAAGTTACCCAAAATTGTTGGCAAAAGTGGAAGCAACGATTGATTGGCTGTCAACAAATGCGACTATTGGTCTTTTATTTTTGTAACATTACGTTACACTATTTGTAATATTTATTGCAAGCGTAGCTACGGTCGCTTAATCACATTAGCAATACTATAGATTTTGAACAATTAAATGATCAGACTCGCAATTAATTCGCAAAAAAATGTAACGAGTTACACAAGCACATCGGTATATTTCTAGCCAGGCCTCCTACATTAATCAAGCTTTTAATCTACGTCCACTAAAATTTCAAACAATTAACTAAGTTGATGTCAGTGCTTTCGTTAAAATTTAAAAAGTTGAATATCATGTGGTCATAGGATATTTTATTTCGAAAGGCCATATGTCTATCAATGGGAACTATTCTTCATTCCTTATATTACTAGATTCCTTTGCAAAAATCAACTGGAGGGTTCTGTCCATACTTTCCTTACTCTCCCTAGAAATTTTAATCAAATGGGGAGGCTTATACTTTCAATGGCAATTCAAACAACCATTAAGAGGTGGGTATATCGCTGGAAGGAGTGTGTTGATTTAGAAGAAGACTTTGCTCAAAAAAACAATAAAAAATATGTTTAATTTTAGTTTGTTGTATCATAATAATTCTAATAAATTTTGTATCTATCATTACATTCCATTTACATTCAATGTATCGCTTAAAACATAGACTCATTTAGACTTGCAAGAAAAAGGGGATTGTCGGTTACCATTTTAGGCTTCTTATTTCGAAATACTTTATTTTACTTCAATTAATTCATTATTAACGTTCTTATGTACAGACAAATACACATACTGTATATGTCTGTACTATATGGACAATTTTTTTTTTGTTATCGGTATACACATTAACACCAATTGGCCCGGCCAACTGGCAAACTTGTTTGGCTCACTATTTAACATTTTCAGCACGCATTTCAAAACTGCAAAAAAGTCAACTGGAGAACTGGAATTGCACACGTAACCCAGCAACGTCATCGGCATTGGCACGCATTTCTGATAAGCAGAGAGGCGTACTTTCATTTTTTTCCAAGCCCATATATGTATATGCATATTTTTTTGGAGTCGTCGTCAAGTTGAACGACTAGGGAATTGAGCTCGAGCCCATGCAACCGCTGTATGAGAGAGATCTGTGGTTAAAGCTGCGACTGCGCTTGTGCATTTCGTTTTGTTTAGTATAGTATTATGATGTTGTTGTTGTTGTTATTGGTATTGTTGTCGCTTTTAGCGCGCCACAAATATATGTATTACGTAATCTTCTCAGCCTCAGTCATCGCCGTCGAGTCACTTCTGTTTGCGCAGCTCATTCGCCAACTTGCCTGTCCGCCCCACCAGCCGGCGCGTCGGCCCCTGCTCGTCAACCATTAATGTGTAAATTTTGGGCCAGCGGCCTATGTGGGAACCGTAAGCCGAGTGGTGTACAAAAGATACAAAAGCATTGGCAGTAGTTTGTCGGTAGTTGGCGTTCGCCATCAACCGGTTTCCACATTACACCAATTCCATTCGCTTTTTTCGGCAGTACTTCTTGCTATTTATCTAGTTGGTTGTAAATATGTACATAAATACATACATACATACACACATATTGGTCGACACTTCTACGCACCAGAGCATATGTATGTATGTAAATTGGAGTGATTTAGTTTTTTATGTTTTGCAGTTCATTGGCCTTTTGTTCTTCTCTTTTTTTGCCTAATGTAAAATTATGGCCCGTAAACAACATTTCCTGCCACACTGCTAAACAAATTTATTAACATGCATGTCTCAAATGAAAAAGAGAAAGGTTTCTTATAAACATTTCAATTGTGAAAGGTTTCACAAGGACGTGAGAAATGCCTAAGACACAAAATTAAATACGTTTTCTAAAACTGCACAAATATAAGCCTCGCAACCTAAACCACCAGGTTTAAATCTCACATTTTGAATATCAGATCCTGCCAGATCCTGTTTACCAAAATTCTATGGTAAAACAAAAAATAAAATTGTTGTCCGTCTACCTTCATGAAAAACCAACTGCAATCAAGAAACCATCTACTAGGTTGTCGAGAAGGAGCCACATTTAAAATACATACAGAATTCATTTATATTTAGTTAGTCAAGTTGGATATAAATAAAGCTCGATAAAAGTGCTTCAACTATCAGCATCGCAAAAAAAAAAACAAACAAAACAAATCGAATTTCCATGACCAGACGGAATAAAATGGAATCATTTTTAACGGATGTTGACTGAATATAAAAAATGTGTGTTGTGTATAAGCCAGGACTAAAAGCCAGACAAGTTTTGAGATGCCATTACCAAGTAGCAACCATTAGCCAATATTGGTCAATAGAAAAGGCGAATAACAAGGCCAAGACACACACTGGACCCCACACATCAATAATAATGACCGGAAACTTAGAAACCCTGATTGGGAGTTTATAATGCATCCAACTCATAGTCATATTAGTTTTTCTCCCATTAGAAAAGTCATTCGGTGGAGCATTGGAAAAATGGATTGGCCTAGTTTTGCGGAGGCAAATAGCAGAGGTTTTATAAGCGGGAAATTCTAAAGTTATCATCAAAATAGCAACAAGTCAAGTAAACAAAGCGAAGCATAGCTGATCAGATTTAAAATTAACCTATAAATTATACAAATACTATATACCGTCAGATATAAAAATAGAAAAGATTCTGTAATTAATAATAATCTTACGGATTTTTTTTCTTGAAGTAAGAAAGTAACAACTTTTTAAGCAAAGGAACGTCTCGATTAGCCGCAAACTTAATAGGCATTACTTTCATTGACTTGGCCACCAATTTTAAGCCACGCTGATGCCGAATTAGATTCCCAAAATAATGGTGCGTGTGTGTATTTTTATATCTGCCTCTTTGATTATCATGAATATAAATATTATGCCTGCCCAATTGCGTGACAACGGCCGGTTCATTGAACCAAACAATGACTCTTCATTCTCTGTTTTGCTGGCTCGGCTAATTATGGTAATTAGCGCGTCGTGTTATGTTTTTCAGTCTTAAACGATATGCAAAACAATCTGTGGCCTTTGATTTAGAAGCCAAATCCACAGACATACATACATATCTCATCCATGAAAAACAAATAAAACATTGAAGCAGAGAAATGCCATCAACTAATTTTTGACACACATGAATGCAAATTAGTTTTATATTGTATTTTTTGACGCTACTGCGAAGTGGTTGACTGAGCACAAAGCAAGTTGTGGACATTATTTCAGCATTTCACGGTGTGGTAAACCGCGTGTGTATGTGTCTCCAGATCAACAAGGCTCATTAATATTAATTGTCGGTAATTTTGAATTGCTTTCGCCGACGTTTTCGAATTGTGACGCTAATCAAAAGCATCTTTGCGCGCTGAAAATCACAAATCTCCGAGATTTCACATGTTTAAGTGTAATTTTAATTAGTCGAAACTCTCCCAGCGCTGTTAGGGGCCAATTAATTAAATGCTGAGCAAAAGACAAGAAAAACTCACACAGTGAGTTATATGTACAGTGTGTTGGCTTTTAAAATAATGATGCAGTAAGTTTTGTCAAACGTGCTTACTATTTTTTTGAGTTCATAGACGGTGCTTAACTTAATTATCCCCTGACCCGAAGTGTGAAATGGTATTCAAGAAAGGTGAAACGCCAAACCACCGCTTAGAACTACAAGTAGTAATCTTATTTGTAAACTAGTTGATAAATAACAACGTAGTGATAACTAATAGCTGACAAGTATTACAGGGTATCGTAGTGCAGCCATCGCCTTACATGTTTTTCCACATGAGTCATATTTATTTAAAGCCACATTTGAAGATATTTGTGTAGCAATATTTTGCCATTGAAATGACTTGACAGCTCCATGAAGGGGGAAATCATTAAAAGTACATCATATACTTTGGTATGAGTATGAAGTAATATATATAATTATACAAATATAGTGGAATTGAATAGAGCCCGCTGGCATTCAAGTATTCAATGTAGTATGCTTTCAAAAAGCGGCTTCATTGAGGCCATTGGTAAGTGCTTCTTTCCATATTGCTAAGCAATAATTGATATATTGTGCACATGTCTGAATTATACTCAAGATATGCCAATTTGAAGAGTGTGCTCAAATTATTTTGATGTTCAATAAGTTGGCGTTTCCCACATTTGGCAGATAGTCTAGTATGTAGAAAACACAGCGATTCCTCATCTATATTTTGTGTAGCTTTGGAATATAATGCAAATTAATCTATGAGTGATAGGTACGATATCAATTGAACATTTACATAAAAAGGAAATATTATATTTATATACTTCAATAATGAACTAAAAGCTTTCTACCAAATTTATATTGGCTTTTTACTTGTATTTAAATTTGTTATATGCTCTGGTGTAAAATCTCAAAAAGTACTGCATCGATTAAGCTCGCCATAGCCAAGCGCAACGGCTTGAATTCTGTTTATTTCGATTTGAATAGTAATAATACATGAGATGAGGTCTCTGGAAATGTTATGGATAAAATTTTCCAATTTGTTTCAGATTTTAGCTGCTATAAAAACTCCATAATTTTAGTGAAATTGCAAGTAATATATTTACGTTTATGGAGTTGAGCTACAAATAATATAATAATATGAAAATTTTCTATACTTCAATAATGAACTAAAAGCTTTCTATAACGTAAGTTTTCAAATTATTTTGAGCCTGATGTAAATTAAAATTAATTTTTCCACACATTTTTTTCAAGTTCTATTATTTTCTCAGCATTCTTCTTCAAGTTTTTCTTTACAAATCCTGGTAAACTTAAGGCACTATCAAGGGTGGGGGGCAGGGGGGAGCTACAAAAAATTTTGCCATAAGTCGACCACACGTTCATTATTAACACGCAATATATCGCATTAAAATAGAAATGAGTTGGATTTGTTGAAGTTTTTTCATTGATCATATGCATAAGTAATTTTTTAAATGCATCGTGCATTATTTAAATAAAATTTTAATTTTTTGGCCCCCTCTTTGGTAAAAGCTGCCTACGCCCTTGGGCACTATATCGTGTAAATTCATTTAAAGATAAGCAATATTGTAATATTATCATACAAATATGAAATCTGAAATACGCAATAATATAGAATAGTGCTATGAGTCTAAACACAAAACTGGCGACCAGTATGAAAACATTTTAAGAGATCAGACTCTACAATGAAGGGACAATGAGATTGGGACAATTAATCAGACAGATAATATACCTACATATGTGTCTGAGTATGTGACAATATTGTAATCGAACTGGAAATATTGGAAATTGAAATTAATGTGTTTCATCAAAATCAGTCTGTATAAAAATTAATCCTAGTTTGCCCAAATGAGAAGCCCAAAAACTAAATGTATTAGTCCCCCAAGAACCGCACGAGATTATACGACACAGCTTTAAGCATTTCAGTTGTTATCAGAGAGAGAGAGAGTTACCACAGCGAGGTAAAATAATAATGCATTGCATTTCTGAACTACTATAGTATAATGTGTTTACTCCTGCAAAAATTAGATTTCTAATTACTTATCAGTAAATGTAACTTTTCCTTTCAACTTGTTTCGCTTTCGAACCAAAGTAAAACTGTTCATTGAACTATTTTGAAATTACACACTTTTACATACACGACATATGTATACTATATATGTACTATATATACCCACTATGAGAGCGTAGACTACTCACCTTGACACACGAGGCAATTAAGCAGCATTGCAACAGCAGCAACAACAACGAACTGCGTCCATGTGATGATTAATCCTTGCGTTCTTGTACTTCTTGTCATTGTTGTTGTTGGTGCTGCTGCAGTTTGTCCCTGACGACGCGTTTTTATCCTTATTGGCGGCTCTTTTTTCCACATTTTTATTTGCGCGCAAAAAAATAAAATTAAAAATTAAATGAAATCAAAGTAAATGTCCCCAGGTCTTGCAATAGACATGCAAGACACTGTTTTTTTTTTGTTTTTTTTTTTTACTGCTACTGGTGTTTTACGGCGCTTGCGTAGGTTATGGTTTTGGGCAGGTGTAGAGGGCTCACGATTTTTAGGTGGGCTTCAGCTTCAGTTCCCTTGTGCTGCTGACTCTGGTGGGCTTTTCATTAATTTATTTGATTTTCTTTTGTGAATGTAACTATTTGCTCAAATATTTAAACTGCGTGACATTTAATATTGCAGTGCATTGAGGGTTTTTGTTTGATATTTCGTATAAGCCTTAAACTCTTTACTTCGTGTAGCGATATTTTTGTAAGAATTTTATGAATTTTATAATATTATTTCATAAACACAATTATTTTATTTCAATTTTCGAGCTTACAAATTTCTTTAAGAAATCTACTAAATTATTGCACAATTTTCACATGAATTTATTGGATTTTATACTTTAAGTAATGGTTTCTATATTGATTTATTTAGTTTTATGATAAATTATATGAAAAAGAAACAAAAAGTTATTGTTTGGGCCAGGCCCATTTCGATTGATTTCGTTTGGAACGCACTTATTTCTTTTTTGTTTTATTTTATTCTTCCGGTAAATATGAACTTTTAACTTTCAACAATGTTGGGTTTAATTGATTTATTGCAACTGTATATTTATGCTGTGCATAATATTTATTATATTTTTTGTCAGCGCCAAATGTAAGATGTGTGTATGTGTGCTTGTGCGTGTGTGGAAATAAAGAAACGGAAAAAGCGTATCGCGCGCCGCGATTCGTAAACGCGCGTCAGGGCAAATCAAGTTTCAGTCTCGGACTGACGGGGGCGGCCACACATACATTCCAATAGGAAAACGGCCGTTGTGGTATTTTTTGGTGCGTTATTTCATTTGGTATTTTCATGCACTGAGCGAAAAGGCTGTGCGCATGTTCCGTTCAACGAAATGATTCAGTCGAAGATGATGATGCAGACGCTGCGGTAAAATAAAAATAAAACTATATTAAATAATTTTAACATTTAAATATGACTTATTGTGTAAAGAGGCATTATAAATGCCCTCAAACGTGTTGCAATGTGCAACTTTTAAGCTTCGTCAAAGCGACTTATTAAAACCACAAAAGCTAACGGACAGGCACTGCAAATATTTTTAAAGGATGCAAGGCAACGCAAGGCAGTCTTTCCGTGTATATGTGGGTGCAAGAGAGTTTTCATGCCAGCACTGTTTGTCATACACTCTACCGAAAGGGTACCCTAGAATGTTAATGGCAATCGACAAAAACTATCAGACTCCCGAGTCATGAGATCACAAGCAAGCAATTATAATGCAATACGAAAATACTAAACTCAAACGTTAGTTGTCTTCAAGTTTTAGTACCATTGGTCAAAAGAAATGTGTGCAAATGTTGATTACATTTACAAATACATACTCCAATTAGGTATAGAGTATACATACTGTGATGTAACTTGCATGCTTGTTTTTATTTATTTCTTGTCCAACTTTAAACATTTGCATTGTGGTCAAATCTTTTCGCTTATGGCAGCCACAAAGTAATCTTTTTGTGTCGTTTTTGCTTTTGCTGCTGTGGTTGCTCTTGTGTGTTTTTCGTTAAATGTGAATGTGCACATTATTTTACCGTATACATAAATCATGCACTGTCAAAAAACTTGCGAATAAAAAATTATACATGTATTAATATGCTGCAGCTATTGAAAGCATCTTCGATAAATCCACTCAAAACTACTATATTTGACGAAAGGATCAGCCATGAAGCTCATCTCAAAGACTTTGGCTTGTCTTAAAAACTAATAAAAACTTGGAATAAGCTACCGAAATGTGAGCTTTGTTTAAATTAACTTTATTAATTATCTACATTTTCTTTATCAGTGTACATCTATGAGCCTACAAAAAGAGTTTGTTGCTTAACAATGATTTAGTTGACCTCATTATCGCTTTAGTTCTTCTAGCAAACAAGAAAAAGGAATTGACCAAGAACATTCCTTTTTTTTTTTTGCTTTGCTAGCCCACAGTTTGAAATAGAAAAGTCATTTAAGAGAAATGAAAAGCAGCGCAGCATTTTCATGAGCCAAAAGCCAAAAAATGTGCTATGTCTGGGCAGGCCGATAACAGTGCGAAAGCATAAAGACCTGCAACGGAATTCAACTGATAAAAACCAGCAACACCAACAGCTAAATGCACGCCAGAGCCTTTTGACAGGCCACACAATCATAGATACAAACATACATCTACACACACTTGCAAACACAAATAAAACGAAAGCTGCAAAGGCTCTGCTGACAGCACATCCGGCAAAATAAAGCGACCAAAAATTTTACTACGAACAAAAATTGGGCGCGTAAATGCGAGCTGCCTGGCTTTCCAAGCAACCGAAAACAGGGTGCTGAACGGCATCCCAATGGAAAGACGACATACAGCGCCTGCGCACACCAATACAGTCGCACAAATAGTACATAAAATAAACATACATACCGACACAAAAAGCCCCAAATAAAGTAACAAAATCTTGAAGTGGGCGTACCACTTCAAACTCCCCGATCCAGATGAAGCTTGGATGCGTTGGCATTTGATTGTAAATCGGATGAAGCAATTTTGTGTCAATCGTCAATGGCTTAGTAATAGAATAGAATAAGTGCATTATTCAGACAACGTATTAAAATAATTCATTGCTGTTTGATGGGTGTAAAATAAAAATGATTTAAGCTGATGTGAGCCGACAGTTGCAGCCTTGGAAAGAATTTTAAATTACCCGCGGAAACAGTTTCACATCAACTAGCTGGCGTTCACAGCGCTGCCACTTCTCGAGAAATTCAACAGCTTTTGCATTACTTAAGGACGTGATAGCAAAGTATGTGCCGGCGCTGCCACTCTTAACCAATTTTTTCCTTTAAGTTGTCGATATAAATATCGATACATTCCCAGTTATACTGCTCTACACTAGATGCGAACGTAGTTGTAATCTGCAGCATTTGCAAATTTATTGTAAAAAAACACAAAATTAACTGTTCTCACGTACATAAAAAGTGTAAAAAACAATGAACTAATGTAAAGACTTAGTGCAAGTACCTCTCTAAGCGTGTTCCACGCGTTGGAACTATATTTTTTTCGTTTCTTCATTTTGTGTGTGTGGTGCTTGTGTGTGTGCGGCGCGGCCAAAGCCAAGCGAGTAAGTAGTCACTGTCAACGCAACAACAACACTAGCAACGCCTCAGTGCAGGAGAAAAAAATAAAACAAAATAGAACTAAATCGAGTTGGTTAAAACAAAAAGCAAACGTAGCAAGCTTTGACAGTTCACTTCGTGGAATTTAACAAATAGTTATGCAAAATTCAAGCAAACGTTTTCTTTTCTCTTTTAATTATAGAAAAAATTACCGTGAAATTTTAGCAGTACTTTTCTTTTCTATATTTTGTACGTACGTGCTGTGCTCGTCGTCCGTCTTTCTCAGATGTTGATGTGCGTAAAAATTCGCGTTGTTTAATAAGTTGTATGCCAACATTTTTAAATCGCTAAACAACAAAAAAAAAAACAAAAAAAATACAAAAAAAAACAAAAATATACAAAAATAATTAACAAAATCGGTAAAATATCGCAAACGTTGTACGTTATTTGGTGGACCTCCCCTTTTAAGTTTAGAATTCACAACTTGCAAAATTCCAAACAACTAAATAAACAGCGAAAAAAAAACAAAGGGAAAAACACGCACCGCACATCTAAGGCAGTGGCTGGGTCTGAAAAGCAAAAGAGGAGCAATACGCACGGACAGTTGGGTAAAGAGAATCGACAAGCGCAATTGTGCTTCACGCATTAGAGCAAACGAGCGCGAAGACGCCACGCCACCAACAACAACAACATCAGCAGCTACATCAAAAACAGCAACTGCAGCATAAACAGGAGCAAAGGCACCAACAACAACAAATAAGTCGACGAGATCGGGAGCCACAGCTAGAGAAAAGCCAGAAGCGGTAAGTTTTGATAAACAATTCTATATTACAAAATATATACATTGAACGCCTTTGTTTTTGTTTGTTTAAAATTTGGCATTTTACGCATTGGGTCGTTCACTAAGAAATTCCATTCCCATTGGAAATCCAATAGATTGTGCTTGCTTATCGGTCTGCCGTTCTTCATATTTTCAATAAGATCTCTGCGCTCTTATTTACAAACCAGTTGGAATTCACTGCCATCAATGGTTTTTGGGCTGTGCACCCACACAGATGCGCAACTGGTTTTGTTTACAAACAAAAGCAAGTGCTCCATTCCCATAAACAAGTTTTCTCTAAAATTCACTGTCTGCGCAAAAAGAGCAAAGAATAATTTACTGCGAAACTGGTTTTTCACTTGCATTGAAATGAGGGGCTTACACTATCAAGTGCAGCTTGCCCCAACCCGACAATATCCACTTGTGCCACTTTCAGGCTTTCTTTCGCCCCTGCCAATTGGGAGGCAACTTGTTCAAACGCCAAATGTGGGACAACAGACGATGCTGCGGTGAAAAATTATACTTCCACAAACTGGTTACAGTTTGAGATCAAGGTGGAACCCACTTGTCTGAGACGTAGCACCTACGCATTTCTTTGTTCCACTGGCGTTTGTTTGATACATACTAAATGTACATATGTGCTACATTTTTTCATTCAGCGACTGCCCTCAAAGCAATATGACTAATGAGCAAGTCAGCAACACCTCGCCACCTGTTGTGTGTCATCAATTGTCACGCAACTACAACTACACAATGTTCTCCAAGTACAGTTGAGCTTCCTTGTATTAATACATACATATTTATGTAAAAGAAAAGACAGTGGCCAACATTAATCTGTTTAATGAAGACAAATCAAGAGAGCCTGCAAAAGGAATAATAATTTATTCAACGGCATTTGAATCAGAGACCAATATTTGGCTACCTGGCAGAACAAAAGGTACTTATTAAAAAAATAATGATACAGTTTTGTAACTTATATACTATATTTTTATTGTGGAAAATGAAAAAACATAAACTTTAGATGTATCGTCATAAAGATAAAAACAAAAAGCTATATTCCTTCTTCACCCTGTGTCTACACAATAAAACTAAATTTTGTGCTAGATTTTGCTTTGTTATAGAAATTATTCTCATGTCGTTAAGTATCTTTCTGAGAACTCCTAAAGAAATTTCCATAGGTTTGCGAAAATAAGCTTGAAAGGACAGAAATGAGAATAAAACTCTTGGCGCATTATCTTAACTGCTAAATCGTATGTCATAGGTCGTTTTTATACCCTGTATCCAAAATGTAAAATGGGATACTGGTTTATATTAAGTTTTTCATGGACATGTCCACCTGTACCTCGAGCTGTAGTTTTTGTAGATTGCCTGATAGGCGTGCGCAGTTTTCAGTCCATTGGCATTGCAATAAAATGTTGGTCATCTTCTTCAGTGGGAACGGAATTTCTACGCCCCAAATGTGTGACATCATGCCAATTTATGGGCTAAATTAGTAATAAAATTTCTCAAGTGCTGCTGAGCAATCGCGTTCGCACCGTCAATCTTTAAGCACTCTCACACTTATTTTAAAGCACTTTAAACTTAGCACGTATGTACTCTTTAAGAATACAAAATACTACATACATACAAATATACTCGTACTTATGTAAATGTGATTTGTTTTATAACAAAAGAAAAAAATTGAGAAATCGTTTAAAAAATCAATTGCATTTTTGCATGCATGCTTTTTGCTTTCGGTTGTTTTATGGAACACATCATCATTGGCATTTCATACCCATACATATTCACACACAGAGACAAAAAACACATTTGTATAAACAATCCAGACATGAAGCATGGTTTTTATTTAAAACAAGAACAAGTATTAATTTCATCTCATTTCCTTCCATTTCCATCTTACTAACATGAAAATTTGTACATTTGTTCTGTTCCCCCCGACGCATTGCAACTCGACGCGGCTCCCCGCCTACGAATGAATTTGTGGCCACAACAACAACAATACGTAAACGCGTGTGTGTTTGTGTTCGTGTGTGTTTGTTTGTTTGTTTTTGTTTATTGTTAAGATCCTTCGAAGGTCCTCCTATGTTCCTACAACCGGGAGGGGGTGGGAAGGGAACAAGGCCACAGTCAACACACCAGCAAAATATCAGTCACAGTCACCAGCAGCTCCATCAGACGCCGCATCATCATCACCAGCAAACGCAGCAGAACCGCAACTCCCACATACCGCAGGATCAGCAGCAACAGCAGGTGCAGGTGCAACAACAAGGACAGCAGCTATCGGTGTTTGTGCCGCAGCAAAACGTGGCCTCGGCTCACAGTAATCACCACCCCCTCTCACACGCACAGCAACAACAACAAAAGCAGCAGCAGCAGCAGCAACAACAACATCAGCAGGTCCAGCAGCAACAGACACAGTTGCATCACAGTCGCGACCAGCAACACCATCAACTGCAGCAGCAACAGTCACATCATCAGCCCGTAATCTTCGTCAGTCAGCCGCCGCCGTCTGCTCACTACGGTGGCCAGGGCCAGCATGCATCAGGTGGCGGCGGCGGCATAAACAGTAATGCGAGCGGTATACAGTTCACTGGGAGTGGCGCAGGCGGCTTACAGCAAGTCAACAGCAGTACCGCCCTTGGTCATGGAAATGCTAATACTGGACTGGTACGCGCTCTCAACAACACTGGCTTGCAGCATTTTACGCCTTCAGCTGGCCTGATTGCGACCGCAGGGAGCAATGCGGGTGGAGCGGGCCCCACAGCCGCCTTCATGACCACTACCTACATACCTTTTAGCCACCACGGCTCGTTGCTGGGCGCACCAACGGTGGGCTTTTCGCCCAGCGGCAATGGTGCAGCAGCAGCATCAGCCGGATTCTTTGCGACTTCGCCGCAACAGAAACAAATCGCAGTTGCACAGCAGCATGCTGTCAATATGCAAGCGGCGGCCTCTAGTGGTGCCGCCACTTCAGGTGCACCTGCGCAGGCCATAGCCTATTACCATTCGGCACCACCACCGGCCACATCCACCAACAATCCCAGCAATATGTCGCACCGTGCTAGCATGCGAGCGCCACGAGCAGCGACCCCTCAACAAACGAATTATTTTGCCTATGCGGTTCCCACGGTGCCAACGCCACGTGCTACACTGATGAATCCGGCGGCCACCGCCACTGTGACGCCCATTATGAACCCTCGCAGCGCTGCACTTAATGGTACTGCCGCCTTTCATATGCCACCCACATTCTGTCCAAGCATTCCACTCGGAGCATCGACGGGTTTGGCCGCCACGCCGATGATGGCGCCTGCGGGCATGACACCGCAACAGGCCGGTGCCCCCGCAGGGGCCTTGCATACCTATGCAACGCATTTACAAGCGGCTGGCGCCTCTGCTGTAGGCGGCGCCTTTTCTGCCACATCGCTACAGCCGCTCACTGCGCCTGGTCAGTCAATTAGTGGGAAGGCTAAGGAGCGTAAGCATGCTATTCCTATAATACATCCGGACACCATGGAGGTGCTTGATACCAAATCATCGGTGTTTCTGAAAAAAGATTTATCGACAGCTACGCTGACGGCCGGAGTTCCAGGGGGGGATCAAAGCGCACCACTGGGACCGACGGATAGCAACATAACCATGTGCTTGTATCAATCACCCTTGGGCATGGATACCTCTTCGGCCGCATCGCTGCTTAACGCAGTCATGGTGGATCATCAAATGCAAACAGAGAAGTCGCAGCCAGCTGTTCAGAATGCAACAGGAGATTCGATAGGCATTCCTCTTGTCTTTGGTGAGTTGGACAATGAGAGCACGGAAGCCACACCTACATCGCCGTTACCCACATCATCCAATGAGGATCAGATTAGTGTGATTGTCAAAGACATCTTAGCAAAGTCGGGAAAAACTGAGGATCACCTTAGCTTTTGGCAGTACAGTGATGGTGAGTCTTTACATCTTTAACCAGACCAGAGTCTATGGTTGAATGCATTTATGCTCTAGAAATAAATAAAAGAATGTCAACATCTTGCATTATCACCAAACAATTTCCATTTGTATATCCAATCTTTAATATGCTTCTCCTTCCAGTTGACAATGCGGCTGAGAACCAGCACACGCTACCAACATTTGAACATTTGGAAACAACTCTGTCGCAAATTTCACCGACAGGCATTGGTCCAGAGCCTGTGCTCTTCAAGGAGCCGCAAATGTCCAAGAAACAGCGCCCCAAATCGGCAAATAAACAAAGTAACAGAGCAGCAATCCTTGAAAACAATAACAAATGAATGTAATTCAAAAATTTGACAATTTACAGGCACAGCAACGCCCACATCCATAGCAAATGCAGTTGCTGAGGCTGCCGCCAGTGGCGGCACGGGCATAACCATATTGGCCAGAACGCACCAGTTGCCTCAGCAACAAACGCAGCAACAGCGAGCGCAAAGAGCAACAAAATCGATTACTGCAGCACCTGTGAGCATGGAAGACTCGAAGTTGTGCACAAGTCCAGCAAAGAGTGCCAAGCAATTGCAGTCACCAAAAAAGCAACAACAATCGAGCACATCAAGCTCAGGCGCATCTTCATCGGCGGCCTCGACGCCCACGCATCCAGCTTCGAATCAACAAAAACAGCAACTAAAACAGGCCGGCAATGCAGCCTCCACACAAAACCCGCGCATTTCGCCAGCAGTTGCCCTTCTTGCAGGCACATTTAACCCCCAGCAAGGGCAGAACACCAGTATTAATAAGAAATCGCAGCGCAAGGCACGCAAGGAGAACAAGAAACAAAAATCTGTTGCTCCTGCAGGAGCAACAGCGGCAGTCACAAATAATGCGGCACCTTTAACTACAATGGCAGCAAGTAGCGGCAACAACAATAATTTGCTGAGCAACAAAAACAACAGCAACTTGGATAATGCAGCCAAATTGAATGCGCTTACATCCACAACATTTGCTACCACAACTAAAACAACAGCAGCTGTGGAGTCTGCATCGAGCAGCACGATAATGCCGTCAGAGAAGACGGCACAGCTAACGACTGATAAGCTTAGTGCAACTAGTAATAATTCCTCTAGCTTAAGTTCTAATCTAAGAGACAATGCAAAATTGACGCAGGATCATCAACAGCAGAAACAAAAGGTCGAGCAAAGCTCGAACAAAATTGGTGGGAAGACGCAGCAAGCAGCACCAGAAACTCAACTCAAATGTAAGCATAAAAATCTCCAAAAATCCTTAAATTCGTTTTTCAATAACCAAACAACGATAAAAAGCTCTGATACAGTGGTCCGTTTATTTAGAAATTATCTACAAAAGCTTTCAAATTTTCAAAATAGTAGGAATTCATTAATAACTTTTGGGTTAACAAAAAAGCAGGCAACGAAAACTAGCAAAATAAAATCTTTTTTGTAGACATTTTCTTCTATTCAAAATTTTCATGTTTTTTTTTGCAGTTAAACAAAGTTAGCACTTAAAATTAAACACTTATTTCGCCTTTCATTCATTGCATTTAATAATAGGGTTTGTTTGAAATTTTGTATTAGGCCATGGACAGATTTACTAATTGATGTTAGTAAGGGAGTTCATCAATTCAAAGTTAAAGATACGATGATAAGATTGTCAATTTTGGCCGCGCACTAATTCTGTTTCAATTTGTTCCCATATTTCCTAGTTGAAGCCAAAACAGACAATGCCCAATTGTCCACTTCGTCGCATACGGCCTCAACAGAGTCGCTCACTTCAAAACAGGATCCACACATGGCTACCGAAGATATTATGGCCAAGTTCTTGGCACAGCCCGAAGCACAACAACTGCAATTTCTCAACAGTTCCAGCTCTGTATGTGAAGATGAAGAGTTAATGAGCGTAAGTGCCGTAAAGCCCGACGGAGCCGACGAATGTAACAATTCCGCTACTGCTATTAATGAACTGAAATTTGGAGACTTTAATGAAGATAAACTGAACGATACTGGTTTCATATGCAGCTCCACTTGGTCTAGCTCCATAAAAGCGCTTGATCCCGTCGCCTCAGATTCCAGTGTGGCGATATCGCCCACGGCCTCCATCAGCAGCAGCATGAGCTGCATAAGCAGTACCAATGTGACTCCATCCCTAAAGACAACAAAAAGCATGGACAATGTTGACTGTGCGGCAAAGGTTAAGGGCAACCTGTCGGCAACTGTGCGTACTAGCAGCTCCAGCTGTGGCAGCAAGAAATCATCGCCAGTGCATCAAATTAAAAAGGGCGGCGATGGCGAAAAGAAGGGAAATAGTCCAAAATCTTCAACATCAGCGAACACATCACAGACATCAATTACGGCAGCAGCAGCCAAAAATAATGGAAAAATATTTAAATACAGCATTGAGGAGTTGCGTGAGCTCTCCAAGCTAAGCGATTCGCGCAAGCCGCCCATGGTGTACTGCCAGAAGGGGGATTGCATTGCACAGCTCTTTGTCTCACGTCAGCAGCAGCAGCATCATCATGCACATAATCCTCACGTGCCACAATATCAGCACATGAGCTTCAGTGAATCCATTGACTATGTCTCTGGGAAACGTGCTGGCCGACATGGACATGGACCCAATAAGAAACACCATGATCATCAGCAAATGGGCGTCAGCATTAATAGTTCGGGTGGCTCTGGCGGCGGCGGTGGAATGTCAAATCAACGACACATGGATATAATACGCGTCCAGCTATCACTAAAGGAGGAGATTAAGTTGTCTGAGTGCGAGAATGCTTGGCAGCCAGAAACCTTACGTCGCATGTCAATGGCAAATGCCTCAGATGAAGATGATGATATGGAGACTGTGGTTAAAAAGGTGCGCGGTATACTCAACAAATTAACACCGGATAACTTTGATGTGCTGTTGAAGGAAATGTTCAGCATTAAAATGAACACTGAAGCCAAGATGACAAATGTAAGTCGAGACTTGAAGAAAATATTTTCAGATATTTTTAAGGGATAAACTAGAAGAAAATAATTAATTTCTACTAAAACGAATTCTTCTTCTCTGTATCAACAGGTCATGTTGTTAATTTTCGAAAAAACTATCAGCGAACCTAACTTTGCGCCGACCTATGCACGTTTCTGCAAAGTTCTGTTTCATGAGATCAAGGCTGAGAACAAGTCGCTGTTCACCAGCTCGTTGATCACGCGCATACAACACGAGTTCGAGTCAAATGTAAACGATGCCAATGCGAAGGCCAAGAAATTACAGCCAACGGTGGATCGCATGAACGAGTGCACGGATCCGAATAAAAAGGCAGAACTGCGCGCTGAAATGGAGGATCTGGAATACCAGTTCCGACGTCGTGCCTGGGGCACAGTGCGTTTCATAGGCGAGCTCTTTAAGTTGCAAACGCTGACCAGCGATCGTGTACTGCACTGCATCGAGTCGCTGCTAGAGCATGGATGCGAGGAAAAGCTCGAATACATGTGCAAGTTGCTGACCACCGTAGGTCATCTGCTAGAGGGCAATCTGCCGGACCAGTATCAAAATTCGGTGCGTATTGAGAAGATCTTTCGTCGCATACAGGATATTGTGAACAGATCGCGCGGCAACTCGCATCGCCAGCCGGCAGTTAAGATCAGCAGTCGCGTGCGCTTCATGATGCAGGACGTCTTGGATTTGCGCGCACGCAACTGGGATCAGCCGGTGACGCATGGTGGACGCCAGCGCTTTAATACAAATGCGAGCATCTCAAAGCATGAGGAAAAACAACATGGGCGCAATTCGGGCAACATAGGAGGAGGTGGTGGAGGAGGGAGCAGCGGCGGCGGTGGCGTTAGCGGCTCGCATCACCAACAGCAACACCAGAAACATCACCAGATGAATCGTAGCCATCAGGAAGGAGGCCAACACAGTCATGATAATAGCAACTACTTCATGCAGAAGATGCCAAAATTGCAGCAACAGGACAACCAAAGTCTTAGTATTGATCCTACCAAACTGCGTTTCAGCAGCGGCGACGAATCTACAGCTGGCATGCCAAAGCTCGGCAACTCTTCCAACTATCAATGGCGCAACATTAGCAATCGACCAGTGAGTGCGAACGCCGGAGCCGTCGTGGGAACACCCAATCTGCTTAAACGCATGCCTTCTACACAGACGCCAGCGCCGAATCATCATAATCTAAACTACTCTTCATATACGCAGCCACTGCAGTCATCGCTGCCTTCACATGGCATCAGCAAATCCAATGCAAATACCAGCAACATTAATCCGTCAACCTCTTCAACATCCACACATGATGCAAGCGGCGGCAGCAATTTCAGCAGTCTACAGTGTCAGGAGATGATTACGCGTTTGGTTGAAGAAGCGCTGAACACGCGCGACTGGAAGCCAGAAGTGTTGCAACTTTGGCGCAGCTGCCACATAAAAAATCAGGCCGCCGTCTTACACTATCTTCTCATGGATTATATACATCGTGGGACGGTGAAACGTGCCCAGCGTCTGGCCTGTGCCAATGTCTTTTGTTATTTGATGCGCCAGAAAGCCTTTGACAAGACTACATTTTCGCAAGTCTATGCACGCTTCGCCGAAGAGTTTCCCGATCTGTTGGTGGATGTTCCCAATGGCTGGGGATATGTTTTTGAGTTTCTTGGCCCGCTTATGCACGAGCGCCTTCTAGATTTTTCGGACATTTGGCAATGCCGATGGAGAGAGGACAGCTACTTCACAGATCGCTTCGTGCGGGCTTTTCTTAACTATTTTGTTCAAGATTTTGGTGCCATTTACACACGAGACTTATGGCACAAGGATTACAAGCTCGATCCACTGGTGTTCTGGGACGATGTGCAGCAATATCGCGAATTTCTGCATTCAAACAATTTTGGCTTTCTGGAACAGAACACTAAACAGCAACACCAGCAGAAGCAGCAATTGCACACCAGCCAACAACAACAGGCCCGTGGTAAGCTGCAGCGTAACCCAGCCGAGCATGTGGAGCGCATTGGCTCTTTGCTAACAACATCCAATGATTGCAACATGGCCATTGATTACATTAATACAAATGTACATATTACCACGGATTTCGTGCGGCTACTAACGAAATTCCTTTGCTGTGATTATGCGCTAACTGTGATGACTAACAACAACAACAATAATAACAAGAGCAGCAACAATAACAACAAAAAGTCGACAGGGGCCCAGCTGAATTTGCAAAACTTTCGACAGAAATGCACACCTCTTTTGCGCCTTTGTCTCGATGCCCAGGAGACCCATGAAATAGCCTGTATTGACGAGACAGTGGATGCGTTGCAGCAGCACTTCATGGCCGAAATGGAGGATGAGATGGCTGCGGGTGACACGATATGCACAACATTTAACGCGCTCTACGAAAGTGATGTCATACCCAAAGAATCATTTGACAAATGGTACAAGCTAGAAATTGAGCATTCGTCCACCTACCGGCGGCCCTTCATCGACAAGTTGCGTGTATTTATCGAGGAACTGTAGGAAAATATCACTAAATTTGGACATCATCAACAGTTACGACAAGAAAAATAGGCACAAACAGATAACTAGACCCACATCAGCATCAGGACAACGAAGCAAAACTCGAGCACAGCACGTGGCTAAGAATTTGACATAGCTTTTTGTATTGTTTAAGCAGACGTCGACGTTTGCTTAAATATATAGTAAAGTCAAAATTCTCGTCAGAATCTGGCGCCGGGATCCATGCACACTCACTCTTCTTCACCACAGATGTAAGCGTGGTCGCAACATGGTGGAGAGCATTATATACAAAATTATATTTGTAAAGCAGCGGCTGCCGCTAAGCTATTTCAACATTAAGCCTAAGCCATTCACCGTGCTTGCTGAACCACAATTTCTTTTAATTGAACTGATCAAGAACCATATTATCCCAATTGTGTTTTTAAAGAGCTGACACGCAGATCCGATTTATAATTACTATAATGCTAATAGAACACATAACATTCAATGCTAACGCAATTTGTAACATTTCACAACAAAAATCCCGAGAACATGAAATATTTTCATTTATGTAATTGTGCAAAACACGTTCCTTATCACCAGAAAAACACAACAAACACAAAAACGGAAAACCTTTTCGATGACTTGGTCATGTGTAAAATAAACATAAACACAATAACCCCAAAAAATTAAAAATACAAGAAAATTCTTTGCAAATAATAGGAAAAGAAAAGCTACGGCAGCATAAACAAGCGAAAAATCTCAGAAGCAAACATTTTGAATATCGAAAACCTACAAAGATAACAAAAAATAGTAAAACGTATAAAAATAATATGTCAAGACATACAAAAATTATGAAATAAGAATTATGGTGAACTTCAGTATTGCGTTAAAGATATTTTATGTTTAAAACACAAAAGTAATGAAAAAAAGAGGTAATAGGCGAAACTTATAATTTTTTCGTAGGGTTTCTTACATACAGGAATTATTATTTACCTTTCAGTACAAAGCTATATGAATTTGAATTTTATGTTTTTTTCTTTTATTTGTTTCGCTATCTTTTCATTTCTCATACATTAAATCATGGCTGTATTAATTTTAATCTATTTCTACTTTAATGGCAAAACGAATCCCAGTTTAAGCAGTGACGCGTAACCCCAACTAAAAAGTTTCCTTACAACAAATAAAAAATCTCTATTACAGAAATAAATAATAGAATTCGAGGCTAAGGCTCAAAATTTCACATCTAAGCAAAATTAGTATTAAAAATTAAATCAATATTTATATAAACATATATATATATATATATATATATATATTTAACATAAATAGGCAAACGGCACTTGTAAAATATGAGTAAAGGCAACGTAAAAGGCATGTACGGATAAAATGTAAAGTTTTAGTACACAAGCATTAAAAATTATCCAAAGATAAAAGTTAAAATTAAATTTTAATTTAAAACACAAAAATTAGTATTGCTGTGGAAAGCAACAACAGCGAACCACAAAAAATTAGTTATACAAACGAAAGAAAATACATTATATTAAAAATATTTATACAATTTCTAACAAAAGACAAATCTATAAGAGAACCTATAGCTATTTAAACCAAATTTAACACACACACACACACACAAAATTATAAATATATGAAAATAATAAAACAAATAAAAACGCAAGCATACACAAAATAAATCAAAAACAAAACAAAAAACAATTAAAAACAAAAACCAGAGGAGCTCTAAGCCGCCTTTAATTATTTATGTAGTTATTTTTGTAAAAATGCAAACAAATCTTATAACAAAAAAATTTAAAAAATTTTATATAAAAAGCAGGGCGAGCAACCGCAGTAGGAGGAAAAAGTTGTAGACCCTTTGATGTAATTCTAGGTTTATCCAATTTTTAATTTGTACACTAAAAGTGACAAAACCGAACACAACAACAAACTAACAAAATTTGAAAATATAAAAAAAAGCAGCAAAAATTAATTTGTGACGGAAAACAGAAAACATAAACATTTAAGTTATTAAGCTACAAAAACAAAATAAATAACTGGTTAACACAAGGAGAAATAATTAAAACGCTTCTGCACTAAAAAGCAAAAAGTTTAAAGCCAAGCTGAGAGACTTTTAAGGCTGGCCGAGCTGACCTTCATGTTGCTAAGGCTTTCCCAGACCTTTGGGCACTTTAGGCAATTTCGTAGCAACTTTCACAAGCATTTGAAATGTATGTGCGTGTTTAAAACTAAATCTAAGTTGGTATTCACTTAAACATAAACTGCATGCATATGCATTTTTAGCCCAGAAGCAAGTAAAGGGTTAAAGTAAGTCTAAAACCAATTCAAATGATAATACAATACAAAAAATAAAAAACAATGTAAGCAAATTTTAAAGCATTACAACCAACCATAAAAGACATGTAAGCCAAGTGTTACACAAGCATATTTAAAATTATATTTAAAAAGGAAAATACAAAAAAAAATCAATAATAAGAATAATAATATAAAACAACAGACGGAAAGACAGGAAAATAGGCAGGAGAAAGGAAGAATAAAACTGAAATTATAAACGGCAAAAAGTAATAAAAAAGCAAAGTAAACCCAAATAGCGTTTCATTGTGGGGCATGAATAAAAGGCCTGAAGCTGACGGAGGCCTAAGCATTTGACATTTTAAAGCATGTGGCAATCAACATCTACTTACATACACACATTCACACAAACACAATCAAACATAGCGCATAAGCAACACGGTGATGGCAACACACACAAGTTTCACTTGCTTAGCATAACTGCTGGTCTGGGTTAAGGATAACGCTTTAAGGCTTTGTGATGTACGCAACCGTAAGCAACAAACAGTTATACACGTCCGAATAAGTTAAGCCTATTCATTAGCACAAACACTAAATATATATCCCTCAAATTTATATCTATATAGCTTGATCTGATCCGTAAGAATGGAGCGCCGTGGACGCATACCGGTGGCCAAGTTTCGCACACAGGAGGCCAAGACGCGCAGTCGCAGCCGTGTCCGTGAGCCAGACTACAATGAGCAGGACCCCGAACACGATATGTTCACCCTTCTGGAGGATAACATAGCGCTGAAGGAAGAGAACAAGGCGCTCAAGTTGGAAATCGAAGCGCGTGAGTACTAGACTAGAGGATAGTATTGGACCTAAGCAAGAGTGTTTACAAATCTTTTCATAATTAAAAAATTAGTATTCCAAGTGAATGTGAATACGATGACTTCCTTTTATATTTTGATAATGGAGCAAAAACACTATCCACAAAGATCAATATACTATACTTTCCCTTGAATGCCATCTTCCACTTCTTCGGGTTCAAGGGTTAATGGAAATTAAAAAAAGTAATTGGAAGACAAGCGTGTAAGGGGAATGACCCATGAATTCTGTATCTGGAGCCTCCGAAAATTCTCCTTCGTTGTTACATCAGTTGATGTGTGAAACATTGGATGGATTAGCCCTCTCTGGCAGTTGACTTTCCCCAAAAACGTATGGGAAACAAATGACTGTGTGCCACTTAGAATTTTCGATTCTACGATTTTCATGGTTTTCCGGGGAAACAGGCTATGCTTTGCTTAATAATGATTCGTACGCGAACAGTTTTCGGTTATTTTAACTCGTACTCGAAGGCCTAACATCCAATATTTGTCGCCTGTTACGGTCATGTAGTGTTGAAGATATGCTGGTCACATGTCGAGCAAGCATTATCAACAACAAATTGTGCGCATATCTTATTTTTTGGTATTCAAGTCACAAGTAGTTTTGTAATTTGGAGAAATGGAAAGAATAGCTCATCTGTAATTGACACTTTGATGGCACTGATTGTAATATTTTTAAGCGGGCTTAAATATGGTCCGGTCTATTTAATATCAAAATTTTCGTAAAATATGTTTAACTCGGATTTGTATATGGGGAAAAGAGCTGATTTGCAAAGTAAACACAATAAACGAAATAATAAATACAATCCAATTTAATTATCTCGATTGCAATCCGACTAACCATGAATGAAATATTACGTAGGAAGCCTCCCAAACATAAAACAAGATAGAACGCTACAGTCGAGCAAGCCCGACAGTAAAATAGCCTGTACTCTCCACCAAAAAAAAAAAATTAAAAAAAAAAATTTTTTAAAAAATTAAATTATTAAAAAAAATGAATGAATTAATTAATTAATTAAATTAAATGAGAATACATGTTTATGTTCAGTTTTAACAGCATACATTTACATCACGTAGCTATGCGTGTTTATATGCGTGTATGTATGCAGCACAAAGTTGAACCAAAGCAGCAACAACAACAACAGCTGCAGGCAGCGCTGCCGACAGAGGCAGCGCATGAGCAGCGATTTTACTTATGGCTATAACTTTCTTCAGAATTGACCTATCATGATGAAATTTGGCATACGGACACATTAGTACTAACTGGATGTACCTACCAAAATTAATTTCAAAATTCCGAGAATTACGGAAGTTATAAGAAAAAACACGAATTGCGGGGGAGTGGGGGGGTGCATCGAAAAAAAACTCAAACTCGTACTTTCTCGGTCTTAGGAGAATACGGAAACCAAGTTTGGTTATTCTAGCTCTTATACTTTCTGAGATCCTTGCGTTCATACGGACAGACAGACGGACGGACGGACAAGGCTATATCGACTCGGCTTCTCATCCTGATCAATAATATATATACTTTGTGGGGTCTGCCACGCCTCCTTCTGTGTGTTACATACATGCGCACAAAACTAGTATAGCCTTTCACCCTTTGGGTACAGGCTATAAAAATTAAAAAACCAGACTACAAATAATGCGTAATCTACCTTCAGAGAAAGCCGCAGTAGCTGAGCAGCACACACAACACGATAAGCTGGTAAGTCAACTGGAGGCGCTGCAACAACGTCAGACTGGATTTGAGACGCAAATCAAGGAGCTGCATGCCAAGCACACAAAAATGAGCAACGAACGCAACGCGCTCGACAAGTTGCACAAAATGAAGGTCGATCAAATACACAAGTAAGCAGCGAGAGTTAATACTTGTCTGAGTCTCAGTCCCAGTATAAGCTCTCCATTTGCCCCCCGATAGTCTCACCAGTGAGTTGGAACACATGCGAGAGAAGCAACAGCAGAGCCCAAATGCCGCACCGGCGAACTTGTTGATTGGTTCCGTCGAACTGAAGCGAAATTTACTGAAGATATTGCAACAAGGCGGCAGCAGCTCTACTGGCAACAACGAAATGGACAGTCTCATCGATGTGGATGAGACGAATGCGAGTGTACACATAACCGGTGCCCTTGTCGAGCGATTGGTTGATGAATTTCTGACACTCAAGAATGCCACCAATGCAGTGGAGCTGCAACTATACGAAGCAAATGAGAAAATAGCCGAACTGCTGGAACAGGTAAGAATGGAAGAGAGCGTAGAGGAGCGATGAAATGCTTAAGATTCTATTTCAATGCAGCAAAATCATTTGGATGAGGAAAACGAAACGCTACGAACAGAGAATACCAATTTAACCAAAGTGGCCAAGTTGCTGACGGAGAACATGAAGGAGAGTGTGGAAACAAGCCAAAAGTAAGTCCATCAGTAAGTAACACATTCACCTTTACCTTTCCTCATCTATTTCAAAAATTCAAAAAATTTTGAAACTAGTAATTCTGCATTCGGTTTTAAAAAAATGCAATATTTGTTCTTGAATTATCTTTTAATACATATTTTAGTGTGAGTATTTGTTATCTATTAGTATAGAACATTCTTATTTTATAAAATAAAATTGTATATATGAATTGTGTTCTTAAAGTTTCTCAAACAAACAAGTTACAGAAGCCGATGCTTTCATATTTGCGAAGGCTGCTTTATATTTGAATTTCTA